ACTTCTATAAATTTCTCACCACTCTGTCTGGCATTTCACTAGAGGTATTTCTTTCCCACACAGTCCCCGCCCCACCCCCACCCTGACCCTTCACTCTCGGCCTAGTTCCTTTTTCAGAGCTAAGCATTTGTTTTCCTTGTGTAACCCAGGCTCTGCTGTCTGCAGTCATGTTTGCAGCTTGTATTAGCGGTGTCTGTGAGGACACAGATGAGTGCATCTGTCACTCCATTCGTCTGGACCTTAAATATAACACGGACGCTGTAAGCCGGGGATACTGAGTAGGAAACACATATCAGTATCACTTCAGCATCATCCTCCACCATTTTCCTTTCTCCTCATTGCTGAAGCCACAAAGCCAATGCCATACTAAGACTTTTCTAGCTCAGTAACTACTTTCTATAAGAAAATACTACTAGACTGGCAAACAGAGGGACTCAAAGGAGGATTTGGGGAGAACAGTGAAGATGGTTAAAATTTCTCTGTTAGGAGAACAGATTGACTTGAAAAGTGAACATTTTCTTTCTTTTAAATGATTTCACTATGGGAATAAGGGTAAAGAAAAAAGGGTCAAACACTTGAAAAGAATTTATCAAATGAAAGTTAGATGCCAAAAGGCAGCCATGGTTAAAAAAAAAAAAGAATTGTTGTATTGAAGCTTGTAATGACCTATGGCCCAGTTTCAAAAAAAGGCACCATTCTACTGTGGCTGCCTGCTTTCTCTTTCCTTTTCCTTCCTTCCTTCCTTCCTTCCTTTCTCTCATTCTGTCTGCCTGTCTGTCTAAATGGGCATAAGTCAGTGCCATTGTGTGTCTGGGGCTGTGGTATACCTCAGGTTTTATAGCCACTCTAAATCCATCAACTCATGTGGAACCTGGGAAAACGGAATGTAAGTAATAATTTTTGTTAGTGTAAAAACAGTAATATTAGTGCAACATGACAACAGACAAAAATAGTGCAATGTTAAAATGCGAGTCCAAAGAATTCCTCATGTAGGCTTTGTCCCCAGTTGTGCTCTGTGACCTTTAGCAAACATTAGTCTCTCCATGTCAAGGTTGGCTAATTAAGCTTAGGGTCACCCAAACAATTATCATATATGCTGGCTGACTTTATAAGTTTTCCTTATAAAGTCAAATCCAATAAAAGGAAAAATGTAAAGACAATGGTTAAAACAAATAAAAAAGCATTACCACAAACTAAACAAAGGCAGCTCACAGCATTAGGCCAGCATCTCACTTATGGGCATTATCTTCAAACATGAAAGACAGAATTCAAGTATTATCCTTTTGTGGCTGCTGTTTGCTCATCTGTCACTAAGTAGGAAAAAAAAATCATTGTCCTCCAAAGATTAAGTGACCTATCAAATGCCAAGTGTTCCCCAATACAGAAATCGCTCTTTAAAGGTCCCTGTGATAATCCAAGAGTCTGGAACTATATAATTTCAGTGTCTCAATCTATCTATATCCTTTTCTCATCTAGGAAGTAAATATTCTCAACATTTCTGACCTCCAAGAAGTCTTTTTTTTAAAAACTTGAACAGTAGAGAGGGCAACTTCTGATAGAGATCCATTCTCTTTCAAATCTTACCTAAGAGTCTAATATGGAGAATTTTATCAGTATGAAATAGAAGAACAGAACACAGAACACACACACTGGGGTCAGAAGGAAAATTAGCAAAAACAAATCGGCAATAATTTATAAATAAAAACTAGCACTGATTTCAGTAAGAATGCAGAAAGCAATCAATTTTCAACCCATCTCTGTGGTGATGAGAAATTTTACCTAATTCACGGGACAGCGGTAACTTTCAGAACGTGAGTATCGTGGCGATTGGAGCTCATGGCTGGTCATCCAAGTCACGACAGTGTGCCAAGGAAACACTTGAGTTTGGTTAAGTCTGTACCATCCCTGACTATATGCACGCTTCCGTCCTATCACCAAGAGATATGATAGGCCTCCCCTTTCATCCTTCAGGGGAAATGATCGACAACTTGTATTAGGACTGCCCAAATTATCCCAGAGCATCCCAGAATGAAACCATCAGCAACGTATATTAGGACTGGCCAAATCATGCCAGGGCCTCCCAGAATCAAATGGTCAACAATGTGTATTAGGACTGGCCAAATCATCCCAGAGCATCCCAGAATCAAATGGTCAACAATGTATATTAGGACTGGCCAAATCATCCCAGAATCAAATGGTCAACAGTGTGTATTAGGACTGGCCAAATCATCCCAGGGCCTTCCAGAATCACAAGTACAGAAGCAGAGAGTGGATGAGAACCAAGGCCGAGGAGAGGAATTAAATTATTTTGTTTCTCCAGGAAGACTTCCTTACCACTGGGGCCAGTTTGGAATAGGAATGATTGAAGATGACAGACTCAGGACGAAAGAGTCCCATAGTTGAGGAGAGAGTTAATAAACTAACAATTTCATAAGACCAGCAAATGCCAAATTTATGAATAATCAATTATTATCTTATATCATAAACACAATTCCACTATTTCTTGAAATATGTTCTAGAGGTCCCTTATACCAGAACTTGTCTTGAGTGCTTGGAAATGCAGATGCCTAAGTTACCCTGGGCCCCGGAACTGAATTCCTAGACAAAAACTGAATTTCCAAGAAGTCACTCAGTTCATTTGGATGATTCATGTGAAGCTAGGAGGTTCGGTATAGCCCTTCACAAATTTAGACATATATATTAGGGATTTACATATTTTCTCCCAAATGTTTATGTACCATAAAAATGAAAATACTTCTTGTGTTGAGTTCTTAAAACCACTTCAATTTATAATGAACACCACTATTAAAATGTAATTAAGAACATAAAATTATTGTGAAAAAGATCAACGATGCTTCTTGAAAGTATTGACTTTATTGTCATTAAAAGTAACTATACTATTAAAGGAATTTATAGCTTTTTAAAGTATCAGTCACTTGCCTGCAGGAACTTATTAAGCTGTTGTAATAACACTCCTCCCATACCATTTTAGTCATCAGAAATTTTATGATAAAGTCTTTTTATTATTTTTAAACTACAAATTGTGAACCATTGTTACTAGTGATTAGGCCAAATTTAAACTTATTTCCAGCATATAAATTCCTGAAGGCATGCTTCATTGGAATTACTAAGGCAACCTTGACTTCCACATTGGCAATAAAGTTCTATTTACTTCTATTAAAGTGTGTGGGAGCATGTTTGTGTGTGTGTATGTGTGTGTGTTCAAAACAATTTATTTTCAGTGCATTCTTTGAAGCAAAAGAAAATAGTTTGTGATATACATGTCCCTGCAAGACTGTAAACCAGCCTCACTGGCGACATGACAACCACATTTCTTCTCAGGGAATTTTTTTCCCTCTTGTAATTCCCCCTCCTCAAATTATGGCTACAATTATCTCAGAAAAAAAAAAAAAACAGTCGCCCCTTTCTAGAGACAGTATTCCCTTCATCTCCCTCAATAAAACTGCAAGTCCAGGTCAAATAATGGACGAAAATAGAAGGCAGGAGGAAGGCTTTGTTTGTAGCGTGCTGTTTTGCTAAGGGTTGCCCCCTACCCACGATCCACCCCGGTGCTCTGGCTGAAGGGTACATGCTATGTTTTAACAGATGGGCTGGCTGGCGGCTGCTGGGCTGTAAAACAGGAACGTGGAATCTGCACTGAGTAGCATTGAACTGAGTGCTTGAACTGAGTGCTTGTAAAGTTCACGGACACGTACTGACCCAGACAGACCAGACAGATGCTAACATGCTTACACACACACACACACACACACACACACACACACACACACACACACA